CCCCTGCAGCAGCAGCGGCAGCTGCTGCAGAACTGGCAGCTGTGCTGCAGCGGCGCCGCTGAGGAGAAGGACAAATCCCAGCAGCAGCAACAGGATTACATGGGGAATGTTCTTTTCGGTTTAAGCGGGGCCGCGCAGCAGCAGCTGCTGCAGCACGAGCAGCAGGAGCAGCAGGGGCCGAAGCAGCAGCAGCGCCGCACTGCTGCCGCTGCTGCTCTTCCACGGACGAAGTGCTGCTGCTGCGTTGGCCGCAGCTGCGAGTGCGCTGCCGCAGGCCAGCAGCAGCAGATTCGCTCCTGTGGGTCACCTTTTCCTTGCTGCTGCTACTGCTGCTGCTGCTGCTGCTGCCGCTCTGCAGGTGGCTACTGGCCCGTAGCCGCAGCAGGCGGCGCCGCAGAAGCGCGTATATCTCGGGTGTATATACAGCTGCTTCAGGAGGGGCGTCTTGTGCTGCTGCTGCTGCTGCTGGAGAAGAAAGAGCTGCTGCATCTGCTGCAGCAAAAGCTTTGCTGCTGCTGCTGCTGATCGGCTCGTCTGCAGCGCTGGGGCCGGCTGTCAGTGGTGCTGGTCCCGCTGCTGCTTCTGCTGCTGCTGCTGCTGCTACTGCTGCAGCGCCGGCAGGCAGGCAGGCGTCCAGCCAGAGCAGCACCCACCTCGCAAGTTCATCTGCTTCTGAATAGAAAAGAAAAGAAGCAGCAGCTGCAAAGGCTGTTGGAGTCTTTGCTGCTAACTGCGGTGTGCCTACTGCTGCTGCTGGTGCTGCTGCTGGTGCTGCTGCTACTGCTGCTGCTGCTACTGCTGCTGCTGCTGCTGCTGCTGCTGCGTACCTAGCATCAAGCAGAGCAAAAGCAGGCGCGGAGCCTCCTCTTGAGTGAAGCCGATCTTCTCTGCTATCGACAGCTCCATAGAAAAGGCAGCAGCAGGACTGTCCACTGCTGCTGCTGCTGCTGCACCTGGTCTAGCTGCTGCTGCTGCTTGCAGCGAGGCGTCTTCTTCAGCTGCTCGCTTTGGCGGCAGAGAACATAAGCAAGCGAGCTGCATCAGCAGCAGCAGTCAGTGGACACGCAACAGAGGCAGCAAAATAAGGTGAGAGCAGCAGCAGCAGCAGCAACAGCAGCCGTTGCTGCTGCTGCAGCAGTTGCTGCTGCTGCTTGGACACAGCAGCCGCAGCAGCAGCAAAGAGGGCTCACCTGGATCCAGGCGTCCCTGAGCTCGTCCAAGTGCTTTGCATCTGCTGCAGCAAACTGCAGCACGGTTTTCAGCAGCTGCTGCTGCATCTCGACCTCCCCACTTGACCAGTGGTCCATCAGACTCCAGACTTTGATCTTGTGCTGCTGCTGCAGCTGCTGCAGCTGCCGCTCCTCCTGGCTGGCGAGCGCCTGAAGCTGCTGCAGCGAGTGCATGAAGGAGTCGACTCTCCGGAGCGCAGCAGCAAAGTGGAGTTGCTGCTGCTGCAGCTGCTGCTGCAGCTGCTCGCCGTTCCGCACTTGCTTCAGCAGCCCAGCAGCAGCAGCATGCGTTTCCCCTGCGAGCCTTGAAATGGAAACATAGCAGTTGGTGATCTTCTCCAGCGTCTCCTTCGCGCCCCAG